TGAAAATGATGGTGGCTGAGCAGACAGTTCCAGTATTTTTCGGAGTGAAATTGCCCAGTTGAACTACATACCCACTTTCCAGTGAAGTTAATGATAGATTTTGTGTGAAATGGGAATTTATTCTCTGCTTTCAGGGAAGACTGCTTATGAGCAATGCTGTTTTTTTATATATAAGTACCGCCGCTATTAAAAAATTTCATCTTTTAAACCACAGAAAAGGAGTTTGATACTTCCAGCACTCAGGATTGGGGATGAAAGTTGATTAAACATTGTACTCATCTACATTACTGATTGGGGAAGAGCATTAGCACTGATTGGGAAGGAGCCATGTAGAAAAGCAGACCAAGAACTGCCTGCGATAGTGAGTTATTTAATCAATAATTTATATTACCTGTAGAATAGTAATACAATTACAGGTCGCAAGGGCATTATTATACAATCATTTCTACCAAATATTGAGGTGGAGAATGCTTTCAGTGAAGTTACTGTTACTTTCTACCTTTCAGAGAATATGGACTTCTTGTGCAGCAATCAGCAAATATAATGCCTTGTGTGATGACACAACTTTTTATTCTGCATTAACATCAAATACACAGAATCCTCATATGTACTAAAAGGCAACTAATGTGCTGCTTTAGCTAGGTTAAAACATCATGCTAGACCAGGAATGTCAAACTCACCTCATCACGGTGGCGTCACATGACGCATTGGGACTTTTTTCCTCTTTGCTAAACTGGCCATGGGCGTGGCCAGTGCGTGACTAATCCGGCCCACATGCTGGGAGTTTGACAGCCTTGGGCCAAGCCATATTGTGATGTATTAGTTTTCGGGTGAAGTGGATGAATGGAACTAGCTGCTAAACTACGGTTTGTGTGCTACCATATGAGCATATGATAATCAGTCAGCCTTATCAGGCATGTCATGACTATATTTAATATGTTATAGCACAGATCATACTACTCACTTCTAGTACCTGAAGGAAAATGACCTCTTTAGAGTAGTATGCTGTGATTTGAATGCATAGTTTATTGTTGGTGTTTGGATTGCATCCAATTTCATCCCCACTATCCTTTTCATGAAACACTGCCAAGTTTATAAATTTTAATTTTTGTTCATCAGGGAAGCTGTATTTTGTTTGGGTTTTTTTTCCTTCCCTTAAACAAAACTGACTCTCTTTTCCCTCTGAAAAAAAAACATTCGAGAGAATTGATGGACTGGAAGAAACTAAGCTATTATGAGAATAGTTTCAGCTTGCTACCATATATAAAATTATGAGTCAGCCTTGTCATACATGTCATGACTACATGTAATATGTTATAGAAGCACAGATCATAATAGTCACATCTAGTAACTGAAGGAAAATTACATCTTCTCCAACAAATCTAAGATTGCATGTTGATTTGTAGTGGAATGTTATGCATCAAAATGTAATGGTATTTTGACTATTGTTTGACATCTCATGTTTTCAAACAAGACAGTAAATGAATGAGGAGGGGGAAAGGAATTGAAGTGATTCTTCCCACTTCCTTTATATAATTCAGTAATCAGGAAGCTCAACAGAGACATGGGTTTTGTAAATTAGTGAAATGGGGATTTCTTACTCACATTGTTTTGAGTCAAGGCAAACTCAAAAAGACGTTGGTTTGCTTACTTATTATTTTTTATATAAATTTTATTAATTTTCTATTGGTTACGTGTATTAGTGTTTAATAAACACCATGTTGTCTGGGTATTTAATTTGCTTAACAATGCAGATTAAAATTTTCATCTCTACCCCTTTCTTCCAACCACTGGTAAAATAAATTCCATGTTTGATAATTTTCTGTATCTTCTTTCTTTTTAATTTTCAGTGTAAGTCTATCCATTTCTGCACAATCTAGTATCTTCCTAATTATCTCTTCCACTTGCACGGTTTCTCAATTTTTTCAATATTGTGCAAATATGATCCTTGCTGCTGTTAAGACATGCAATGTTAGATATATACTTTGCTTATCAAGTTTTTCTGGTATTATACCTAATAAAAAAAGTTCAGGTTTAAAATCTACATATTTCCCTATCATCTTTTCTAACCACCTGTGTATCTTTGCCCAATTTTTTTTTTTTTTTGCTTTAACACAAGTCCACCACATATGATAAAATGTGCCCATTTTTTGTTATATTTCCAACACTTACTAGACATATTTTTCAACATTTAGCTAACCTACTTTTGCTTACTTAGCTGGGGTCACAGTGGGGGACAGGAAGTAGTTTTAGGGAGTGGGGACTGAGGGCCACAGTGGCTATGGCCACTGTAACCAGATTCATATCATCCAGACAGGACTTGTGTTTAGTTTAGTTTAGTTTAGTTTAGTTTAGTTTAGTTTAGTTTAGTTTAGTTTAGTTTAGTTTAGTTTAGT